GTAAAGCCTTCACAGGGGGTGGAGGGAGGAGGAGAGAGAGCGGAAAAAGAGGCGCTCGTGGAGAAGATAAACATGACACCCGTGGGAGGTTATTGTATTAAACCACCGGTGTCCACTGTGTAGGACTCGCGGAGTAGTCACGGGAGATGTGAATTTGGTTCAGTTGGGGGAAAGAAAGTTTTGCAGCTGTTTATTACAATGGTCATAAATGGGTCTCACCTGAACAGCTCCGCTCAGGACCCCAGTGACGCCGCGTTGAGCCGCCCGCCGTGGGTCACCACAACTTTGGGCTGCTTTCTCATCTTCACCATCGTGGTCGACATCCTGGGGAACCTGCTGGTCATCTTCTCCGTGTATCGAAACAAGAAGCTCAGGAACGCAGGTGAGCTCAGCAAGTGTGGGAATCAATAAGTGGAGAGGTGAAAAAGTGAAGGTATGTTGAGCGCGCGTGGCGCCCATGAGCGGCTCGCGCGTGATTACTCATCTGCGACACAAACAAAACAAGCGTGTCAGCATTTCAAAGCGATGGTCGTGGCGGTAGCCCACTCCAGCAGACCACGTTTATTAATTAGAAACCAAGTTTATTACGCAGGCGCTGGAAGTGATAGAATAGCGTCAGGTTGGTGAACACAAACTTCAGCTCGTGACATGTAGACATTGTTTACTTCGTAATCTCCACGTATTTAAATAAATTTAATTTTATATATATTTAGCAGCTTGTCATTGAATGGTTTTCCAATTATTAATTATATATATATATATATATATATATATATATATATATAAATGAACACAGATCCAGAATCGCACAGCATTCTGTTTAAACTGTGGATTAAATATCTATCCTGTTTAATCACACATTTTACTCCACAGTTTACAGCTGGTAGAAATTAAATTCTCATCAGCTCGCTTCGAAGTCCGTTTGAGGCTGACCTCCACAAAGTTCCAGACAGGTAGCAGCCTCGAAAGGACGCATTTTTAACGATTCTTGACAGTCTGCAACCGCAGGGAAAGCCTCGCGCTGCACCAAACGCCCCCGGATTTATTTCTTTAATCTGATAAAGTGAGATTTTTTTTATTTTTATCTTTTATGTTGTTTTTTCCCTCTCCTATTTATTGTGCATTTAAATACACCATCTCACTGTGAATACATTGGTGACACGGGATGTGAATTAGAGGTGCGCACTTTGTGAGCCAGCCTGGTTGGACTGTAGTGGAGGCGGTGAGGCATTTAACAGTCAGAAGACAGAGCGCAGTTGAGAAAACCCAAGAGGCTCCTGTCGTATTCAGGTCTGCTCACTCTGACTGGCAGCAGCGCTCATCACCGCTGGCAATGAGAAACATGCAACCTGTAATTTGAGTATATTTATTCGTTCTTAAAAGCCCCGTGTTAAGAAATAAATATCTTTGTTAAAGAAAGGAACCTGCAGATTTTTTTTTATTTACAGATGACCAAGTTTTTAAGAAGTTCTTATCAGTAATTCAAGACTTAAACATGCTGTAACTTACAGACTCATTTCCTTTTTTCTATATTAAAATGACTAAGGCAAGAAACACATAAGGTATATGTGTACTGATTTTTGTAAGCAAGACATGAGAATACTTTCTGGTAGGACTGGATGAAATGACTGAAAAACGTAAAATTATATTTCATATCTGTCTATATTGATAATTATTGATATTTTTTTTTATTTTATATATTTGAAATACTGCCAAACTGGTGACATGACGCTTCCTGTTTAATCTACAGTTTTCACTCCAACCTGTTTTTTAAAGTCGTTATGAGGCACAGTGGCAACCTTAAACATGCACATTACTCAGCAAGTTGTTGCTAGGTAACCAATGAATGAGTTAGTTAGTTAGTTGATGCCACCCACCTTGGTTAGCTGGCCATGAGAGGTTGAGGGGCTAAAGCCTTTCCTCTGCCTACATCTCCCAGAATGCTTTGCAATTCAGGATAGGAGAATATTCTATATATTAAATGTCATCACCTTCCTAAAATAGTGCCTGTTTAATGGTTGGTAATACTCTGGCCTTGCAGTAAAAAGGTCCTGGGTTCGATTCCCAGCATGGGCTCTTTCTGCATGGAGTTTACATGTTCTCCCTGTGCATGCTGGGTACTCTGGCTTCCTCCCACAGTCCAAAACATGTTAGGTTAATTGGTTTCTCTAAATTCTTAGGTGTGAGTGTGTGTACATGGTCCTGTCTGCTCTGTGTTGCCCTGCAATGGACTGGTGACCTGTCCAGGGTGTAATGTGTAATGTCTCGCTGGAGATAGGCACCCCTCCTGGCCCCAATGGGACAAGGTTGTAAAGAAGATGGATGGGTGTTTTGGAAAGAAAGAGGCAATGATTTTTTTGCTTTTGACAAAACAATTACTTGAGACATTATTTTAGGAAGGTGACAATATTGAATATTCCATCAGCTGTATTACCTATCAATGCTGATCACATGTATATCACTATATGTAATGTTAATGATTTATTGTCCAGTTGTCAATTTCTACCTAAATTAATTGGTTAGGAATGATCTCACATACAGCTGCATGGACTAGATGTGGAAATGGAGAAGAACTTCTCTGGATAAATTAATTCCCTGCTAAGTACGGTAGAGCATCAGTAATACTCTGGGCCAATTTCTCTTCAAGTCCATTACCAAAAGGTGGTTGTTCATAGTATTGACTGTAGGAAAATGAACAAAACCTGGCAATGTCTGTTTATTGAGTGTTATATAGGGTGAACATTTATATGCACTGTTGCTTTACTTTGTTATGATGAGCCACTGGTGAAGTCCTAAAAGAGATGCTGATTTGTTCTCTGTTTCTTTTGCTTGCATCTAGAAATAGTTGTGTTATGGAAAGTGAGTGAAAAACATGTCTGTGTAATGCATGGTAATTTTTTGGAACAAAAGCATAACACAAGAGAATGGGTACCTTTAAGGAACTGCATCGTAAAAAAATGTTCCCTTCATTATGGTTAATTACATGTAAGGAGGTCATAATCCAGCACCAGGAATTTAATCAAGCATGTAACTTAGCCTGTGTTATTCCAAGACTTCAGTGTCTACTCTGAAGAAACTTTCCAGTTCATTAAACAAACTATTTTTACTTCCTTGTCCTGAGTGTGGGTTCAATATTTAAGGATATTAAAAAGAAATTACATTTTATTGCATTCTGCAAATAGCATCCTTGAATTGACAAGGCTTGGTTAAAGTCCAGACAGTTGCTCAAGATCATGCTTTTGCTTCACTGTCGCTCCTCTCCCTTCGGAGCTCTAAAGATGTGCATGCCTAACTTGAATCTGTTCTGATTTTGAGCTCAAGCAGCTGCTGGGAAATTGTATGTGGATTGGCAGACGTATCGATTGACATAAACTCATCACCGCTTGCAGGAATCTGATGCTTGTTTGACCAAATGTTTGACTCCACTGCAAAAAAAAAAAAAAATCTCTGGACTGTATTTTAGCCATTTCATTTTACAGCCAAGAGAAATTTAATTTCCCTTTGGCGAGTCTCTGTTATGGCTAAACAAGTAGGCATATATTTTCTTGGCATGTGCTAAATGTTTTTAGAAACTGCAGGGCAGTCTGAGTAGAGGGGGATAAATTAAACAGCAAGTAATGAAACGTTCTTGGTAGAAAAACCTGGCAGGCATCATAAGACGCATGCAGCAGCAGCAGCGCTGCTGCCTATGCATGGCCAAATCCTCTGTCGGCGCATGAAACGGTCCATGATAGAGTGAGCAGGGAGCCAACAACACATGGTGATTACTCTCAGCTGCACGAGTTAGCATGATCATCATTGTGGCCTCAACTCACTGCCAATAAATAATCTTAAATGTACCGTTTCTGCTTGTGACGTGGGAGGTTTGTTTTTGTGCTGGAGCTGACGTGAATCAGGCCAACACAGCCTCGTCTTTGCTGATATCGGAGCAGCAGAGTTTGGATGATCTGAGAAAACCAAATCTGACAGCTGGGTGTGAGTGCTGACATGCCACCTTGCTGGGCTTTTTCCTTCCATCCCACAAGACTCAATGCTTTTTGAATGATAGGTGTCATCATCTGGTATTTCAGTGGACAGTGAAACAGAGCAGACTTTTTTTTTTAGCATAGTGCAAGCTGCCTCTCTGAGCTTGGCTGTCAGTCATTTCTTTATAATGGAATCGTATTTTTTTTAAAACACATTTGCTCGCATTTGCTTAAGGAATGAAACAGGAGTTAGTGACAGCTGTGAAGTCAAGTGTCTAGCCAAGGTACCAAGAGATTCAGAACATCAGAAGCAATGCTGGCTACCTGAATGTCAGAATTTGCATGGCACAAAAAGTAAATATTACTGCATGGTAGAGGAGTTGGTAGCATTGTCGCCTTACAGCTAGAAAGCCCTGGGTTAAAGTTCCAGTCTGGAGTTTGGATATTCTCTTTGTGACTGCATGGGTTCTTCCCGGGTACTCCAGCTTCCTCCCACAGTTCAAAAACATGACCTTTAAGTTAACAAGTCTGTCTAGATTGTCCTTACTATGTGTGATTGTTTTCTCCCCAGTAGAAAAATACACAATGGAGGATGTCAATAAGAGACACCAGTGGTTAAGTTATATCTCCACTCTTAAAGCTCCTCCATGTAACTTTTATAAAAAAATAAAATAAATGAATGTTTTACATGTTTATTAAAATAGCCACCATGTTGTAACAGTATGTTATGTGACAGACACTCTGTAAAAACAATAAAGTTCCTCCATCTCCTTTGAGTGCTACGATAGCTGAATGAAGAAATGCAACGCTCTGATCAGAGAAATCCAATCAGAGACAGGAGGTGGATCTTAGTGCTGTCAATCATCATCAGATATGAGCATCTCTGCCATTTGCTAACGGTGAAGTATAGTAGTGCGGCAGAGAAAAGGGAAGGACATGACTGGTGCATGCACAAGAATGACTGACAGCGGTAAGACCCTCTGTCTGGATATGATTGTTTCTGACTGAGTGCTATATTTCTGGTATTAACTGGGATAAGGCAGAGGACTTTGATTTTTTTCACAGATGATCTGTCTCACAACATGTTGACAGTTTTAACAAATCTAAAAAACATATTTTTTTTTAAATGAAAGTTACATATTGAATCTTTAACTGTTGAACATCTTTAAATAGCTTGGTTTTCTTTCAGAAGAATGATTATTCATGAGGCTTCTTGAGAAGGATGCCAGGTCTGTGAATAGGCAGAAATCTCTCTGCCTATTTGGTTTCTTAGCCTCTGAAATGATAGAGAACAATGAAGGTTTTTTTTTTCTAAAAATTTAAAGTAATCACCTCCAGCAATCAGCTTACCAAGTATTCTACGTATGCTCTCTTATCACTGTTCTCTCCAACACCTTAAACCAGTCTAGCCAGTCTTCTGCGCCAACACAGAAGCTGTTTCACCTGGACGTCAATCACCATTCTCTAGGTGTCTCTTTCTTCATTGTTTATGAGCATTTTTTAAAATATTCCAGTGGCTCAAATGCTTTTGAGGTAGCCAAACTGAGCAGTCACATTCTTCTCTTTTATTCTCCCTTCTGATGTTTGGTTCAGATTTGATTGGATCAACTTGACCGGTTCTTTATGCCTGGATATGTGCTTCATAAGGCAGCATAACTGCTACGGTTGATAAAAAATGTTTCTTGATTGTAACGCTGTTACTCAAATGGAGCAGGACGGGACAGTTCAAACAGTGACTCATCTAATGTAGCATCTACAATCCGTAGTGACAGGTGGAGAAAAGCCTCACAGACCTGATACCTCTGTGCCAAAAGCTCTGCCTGCGCAAAAATAAACCAGAAGTCCCATACTGCACTCTGTTTTGAAATAAGATGCAGTGTTTATTTTGCTTTGGTGCTGCGTGATTTGGCTATGCGCCACTACAATAATACTTCACCTTTTAGTCTCGGTTTTGTAATTGTTGGCAATTAATATTTTGCGGCGTTACTGTAGCATTAGGATGTATCTGCGTATGTCACTAATTAAAATGAATGTTTTAGCTTTGTGAATGCGCTTCAGCTGTGTTGTGAGCAGAAATCGGCTCAGCATCATGGAGCTTAATAAAGAGAAAAGAAAACAAATCCACATATGTTATAGAGCAGATGTTGATTTCACAGCTTCCTGTTTAATTTAGGATCCTTATGCTGTGAGAAAGTGTGAGCCTTTGGTCTGAGCCTCGCCAGGGTTGGAATCGTCTCTCACTGTAAGACATGAAACGGATCTCGAATTTTATTCATCCTTTCAAACTTGTTTACTTATACTTTTTCATATTTGTCCCCGTTATAGCCACAAATGTTTGCACATTTAATTAGGATTTTATGTGAGAGAACAGAGACGTGCACAATTGTGACTTGGAAGGAAAATGATACATGATTTGTAGACACGGTTTTACAAAGACAGATTGAAAAAGTGAAGTGAGGACTTGTAATCAGCCATCTGTACTCTGATACCCCTCAATAAAATCCAGGACAACCAATTTTCTTCAGTTGCCACCTAGTTAAAATACATTGTAGAACAACCATGTGCTTAAATGTGCAGAAAAAAAAAAAGATACTGTAGAGAATCCCCTTTCCTTGTCCTGGGAATTCTGAATTTATCCAGAATGCTCAAAAATTGATGATAAAAAATGTTCAAGTACATCTTTCCTGCTCCTGTCTGCAAGTATACTGTACATCGCATTATGTGTCCACTCGGCCACCATAGAAGGCCCTCCAACTCACCATATGTATTTTGAATAATTCTTTGATATTATTTTATTTAAAGGGGCAGCATTATGTGTTTTCCAGGCATGTTCTGCCATTTTATAGCACAACCCATTAACTTACTTCAGTTATAAAAATGTCATGATCCTGGGTTGTTTTGAGTTTTCTTTTTTGTAATTTGATTACTTAGCCATCTTGTTTCATCCTTTCCCTGTTATTGGTTCCAGATGTTTGTGTCATTTCCTTGTTTGCCACTGTGTGTATACACTCCTACCTGTGCCACTGTTTCCCTGCTGGATCCTTGCGTCGTCTCCTTTGTCATCACCTGTCCTGTCCTGTCCTGTTTCTAGACCTCCTGTTTGGACTTATATTAAATCATTATGTGACTTCCATACTCCTGTCTGTGATTTGATCCAACGCTCACGTCACAAAACATGACAAAAATGAAAAATGGTTTACCTCACTTTGAAATTGGGCTTCTGTCTCTTTAAAAACTGGTGCTCTTTCTGAAACTCTGCCTTCAGGAAGTCATCATAATATAGCTCCTCTGTTAACCCTTTTTCAACAATTTTACCAGCGTTAGACAGAGAAGTAGCTCATATAATGAGTCAGTAGATGCACAGTTTCATCCGTTGGTTGCTAATTGTTGCTCGCAGTTTATCTTCACGGCAAACACCTTAAGCTTCACAAAAGTGGGGGATTTTCTTTACCTCTACTGTTTTTAAGCTTTCATATTCCGTCATCATATTGTTACTGAGGCTATAGCTTCAGCACTTCCTGTTTGAATGGCGATCTGTTGTTCATTGTAAACCAAAACATTCTTTTTTCCCCCCGCATAAACAAAAAGTACAAAACCTGGAAGGTCAAAGTGCTATTTTAAAGTTCTAAAAAGGTGACAGCTTGGGAAAGCTGGACTGCATGATGTGTTCTCTGCTAGCCGTATCGGTTGTCAGGTGGCTGGATAATGTGCTGCTGCTTTTGATGACAGCGACGGCTCTTTGCAAGCCCTGCAGAACAGCCCAAAGCTTCAGTTTCACTAAAACTGAGGGACAGTCCCTATGAGTGCCCAATGCTGGCCTAGAACCAGAGACCTTTGTATGATGTAACAAATAAAAAAGGTATTTTTTTTCCCCTACATCAACCAGAATACCTGCATAGTACATTTTTTTTGCAAACTGAAACTTCAAGAAGACAAAACAAAAACATACGTTCAATTAACCAATTTCCTCACCTTTGCTTCCATAGAACGTTTGTGATTATTAGCATTTTCATGGATGTCTGATATGCAGGAATTCAGTTGTGAAAGATTTCAAATATTGATTTTGTGCCTGCTTTGTGCTTGACAGTTGATGTGATGTTTGCATTGGCAGTATGATAGCACGATTAACAGTATAATACTGTTAATCATGTTAGTCATGTTAGTCAACATTGATTCTTATCGATGACTTTTAAGATGTTGGCTAAGCAATGCCCAGGATGTGTGCACTTCTGTTAGTTTGTTGTTTTAACATCGATATCTAGACAATCGTGACTATTTTGGTGGTTATGCATAGAGCATGTGCAGGATATAAATTTTATTTTATTTTATTGAAACATGAAAATATGTTGAAAATCATACTTCTTCCAGTTTAAATATATATGCATGGAGGAGATCTGCAAAGTTTCTGCATTATACATGAAGCACTTTCAGCATAGGCAGAGTTCAAGTGGTCTGTGGAAAAGGACCTGGAAGAGTGAAACAGAGAATGTCTGTACATTATCTAATGTATTTTCTTGACATTTTTTGTGACAGAGAAACCCTACGTAGTACATTGTGAAGTAAAAGAAGCATGATGCTTGTTTTTAATATTATTTTAATATTATTTTTTCAGGACTCAATTCAGGTGACTGTTTGCTGTGTTCATCCAGTAGGAGTGTTTGCTGCAAGGCAATGATTTGATGCAATTTGTTGGGTTTCCTTAGATAGAAACTTTTTAAACCAATTTGAAAAATGACCTGAACTTGACTTCGTTGTTTGTTAACGCAGATCAGTTGTGATGAATGCATGATTGGACTGAAATGGTAAATGGTCTGATATGATATGTTGTGAATTACTGCTACGTAAATGAACTGAAATTTGACATTGATTTTGGGAGTAAATTCTCAAAACCTTTCTAACCTTTACCGTTATTTATTTTCAAGGATGGAGGGCTTTTTTAATACTAATGATAAAAACCTAAATAGATGCTAAAACTGTGTGACTGAAAAAACTCACAGCAACATTAATTTTTTGTCAAGATAAGTTCAAGATAAGGTTCCTAGTTAAAGCAGAAATTCCTCATCGCTCTACATGCAGCAGCTGATGAAGAGCCTAACTTCATCAAGACAAGAACATAAATTCAGTCAGAGAAAATATTTTCATTTGGTTCCTGTAATCTGTTCTCAATGCTTCATCCCTGTTGGCTAGCTGATTTTTCTAAATCCCACCTATTCTGTTTGCTCTGGTGGTTTTAGGCATTGCCTCTGAGGCATGTACTAATAATAATATTAAAATGCCTGATAATTTACTAATACGTATGTCTAGGATATGTATTTTTTAGGAGAAGCAAGTTTTATCTAATACTCTGATAAATAGTTTTTATTCAGATGATTGTATAAAGTTTTTTTTATTTGAATGATCTCTCAGTTTTTTAAACTTACAATACAACTATTGTGCAATGTAAGCTTAGAGAATGTGTATCAATATTTGGATGCATTTACTAACTTAAACATTAGCTTATTATTATCAATGTAATACCAGGAAGTAGTTTTGGTTGAGTAACGTTTTTACTGACAGAACAGTAAAAACTGTTCTTCCAGTAACTTTTCATTTTGTGGTACAAAAAATAATGTCCTACAATATTTGTCGAATTTCTAAATATTCAGCCTTGGCCTCGACCTTGGTCTTGGTCTCGACTCCATCTCTATTTATAATTCCATGATTGCCTTGGATTTATGTGCTTCCATGTTCTTTAACTCTTTCTCACCTAAGTTTAAAATGTCCAATTGGATATTTTTGCTTATTTTCATTGTACGCAGTTTTTTAAATGTTCTGTGAGTAAATATATTTTCCCATTTATCCATAACAACTGGAACTTTCAATGTCCAGAGTGCCCCTCAGATTAATTTCACTCCCTACTACAGCAGATGTGAAATTATCTTAATAACCAGATATCGACTGGAAAGTGCAACGTCTCCTTTTTCAGAAACTGTTGGAATTTTTCAGACAGCGCTAAGTGTGGCGGAATTACAGTACTGCAAATTTGGCTGTGTCATCAGCGCTACGTTCGTACATGGAAGGGTTAAAGCTGATGCTGTATGATGCTGTTAGTTCACTGATGTCACTCCCAACCCTCTGATGCTTTTAAAGGTGGACATATACTATCATTAAATTAAGTGGTCCATATTTTTAACAAGGCGACATTTGAAGGCAATTGCTTGTATAAAATTTTACTAAGGGCATCCATTTTCTTCTTCTCTATTACACCCCGTTGTGTCGGCCTTTCAGATAAAATTGCAATAAACACATTGAAATTTGTAGTTGTGAAGTTTAAAAAAGATGGAAAAGTTCAAGAGGAATGATTAATATTGGAAGCATATAGATAAACGGACATTAAGTGTTTTCTCTTTTGCCAATATATTATGATTATATATGAAATATATTGCTGGGGCAGTCTCATATTTAATGCAGCTGATGGGGAAATTTTGATTCTGATAACTCAGGAAGCCTGTATAAAGGTTATGCAAACCTTATTCTTGGTGCATATTTGTCTCAGTGTCCTGTGTTTACAGTTCTGTATGAGAGATATGTGAAAGTGCAGGAGTCGTAGCTCCTCAGCGGGTCACAGCCGTGATGACCATGATAAACATCATATCGGCACATTGTGGACGAGCAGCTTAATGCTACGTGAAAAGCAATGAAAAGATTCATTGGGTGAAAAACAGTCAGTAATTAGGGAACCATAGTGGCTGGGGGTCATGACTTTGGATTTAATTAATAGCTTGTCCGAGCTGAATAACAGGACAATGAGTGTTACACGATAAGGATCTCTTTTCTTTTCTCAGGGCACTTAACTCCTCAGCTAACGTCTGGGCTGCAACCTGGACGTGGTAAAAGAGAGCGCTAGTGGCCTACCCAAAGGCTCCTCCTCAACTGGTAATTTATGGACAACATAAGCGCTTTCTCACTGTGCCCTAAAACATGTCTTAGCCTTTATACATTTTCGATAATCACACCATGTAGATCAGGGGTCACCAACTCCAGTTCTCGAGGGCTACCATCCTGTAACTTTTAGATGCGTCTCTGCTCAAACACACCTGGATCAAATAAACTGCTCGTTTCCAGCCTATTGCAGAGAGGAATGAATGCTGGTGAGGGAATTCAGACATTTTGGAGGAGAGGTGAGTCTAAAAGTTGCAGGATGGAAGCCCTTGAGGACTGGAGTTGGTGACCCCTGATGTAGATCTTCTTGTTTTGCTGTTAGGAGCCTTTCTCGCTCTTACAAAGGATTAACTCTTAAACATCTGACCACATCAACTTAAGCTATGATTACCTTGTGCATATTTTATTTGGCACTGGGATCAGATTTATATTGCTCTGCTTGTTGTTGGTGTACTCAGACACAGCATATGAGGTGAAGGCAGGTGGTTGTGTTTCTGATCTAAAAGATAAACATACAGGAGAAGTAACTGACGTGTGTGGGTGCGCGCGCGCGAGTGTGTGTGTGTGTGTGTGTGTGTGTGTGTGTGTGTGTGTGTGTGTGCTTGTGTGTGACAAGTCTAGTACTCTTGAAGCAAATATCGTGGGATACCATGGTTCATGTTTTAGGATTCTTGATATCAGGACAAGCAATATGCTAGTCCTGGTTCACTATGATTAGTGAACCAACAATCAGTAATTATATATCACCTACTGTAAGTTTTCCTTTTTGTTGGAGCCAGTCGGAGTCCAGATTTGGCTATGAATAATTGCTTTGGGCAATTACTGATAAAACTAGTAGTTTAGATCAACATTACCAAGTCGGGGCACCGCCCGATTATCAGGAAAATAATAACCAAATAGATCTGTCTCCTATATTGTCTAAATATTTGTCTTATAAGGCGTAGGTTTTCAAATAATAGATAAAGGCATAAGTTCCACACTGGTGCTCTTTGAACAGCAACATATTATACATAAAATAATTACACAGAAGTACTCTCACTCACACGTGATTTTATTAACAAAGTAATTCAACATTATAATTAAACACTCTAATCATCAAACTTGTTATGCTGGTAAGAAAAAGATAAGTTTGATTAAACTAAGACAACTAATGGCTAAACTTAAAAGTAGAAATAGAGCCAATAAAAATGATGTAATGAAATCAGTCCAGTATGGATTATGAATATTGAGAAGCCAGATTTATTTAAAGACCAATGACTGTATTGAAGAGTTTCAGTTGGAGTAATTGCCAAACTTGGTATGTATTCCAAATACCATTTCACAATGCAAAAGACAGAACTTTATTTTGAGAAATGTATGTATTAATAATTTTTGAGTGGATTAGAAATCAATAATCTCATTAAGAGTCCATTTCCGCAAATATTTATAGAGAATATAATTGTTTGCTGTTTAAATAATCTTTTTTTCAGTTCAAAGCACCAAAAATGACAAGATTAATTGTTGACGAGCGTCAGCAGTTCACCTACAGTTGATGGCACGAACACGAAGAAGCTACTGCTATCTCTAAGAAAACAGGATATTTAAAATGATTTTAGGGCTCTGTTTATCTACTTTGCGGCAAAAAATGGGAAGGAAATTACCCATAAAAGAGACAAGCTCAACTTGCTGTTCTGTCAGTGATTAAAGCACTCATTGGGATACAGTTTGAACAGCTTGAATATTTGGTGGCTTTAGCAGCTTCACTCTTCTGTTTGGAACAGGCTCTAAGTGTCAAGTAATGCAATAAAAATACAAATATATAATCCTCAGCTGTTATTTCTGTCCAGAACACAACCTGTTGTGAACAAAGTTCCAATGGGTGAGCTGAGTTTAGGCATTCAGGTAGCTCTGTGTCACTCTGCAACCAGGAGACAATTAGCTGTCCAGTCAATGACTTGCAGTATTGTCAGTTAGCACACATTAGCTTAAAACATGGTTGTGTTAGCTCTGGCCAGACGCCATCAGAGCTTGGTCAAGTCAAGTTTATCTGTATAGCGCATTGCAGCAACAAAACAGTTCAATGCTTTTCAGCATAAAATCATCACACATACATACATTATGAAACGAGCAAGCTTAAAATTTAGTCAAATTCCATCATCAAAATCTTCAAGCAAATACACATATATAGATCGTTGATCAATGTTGCCCTTACTACTAATCAAAGACAATTTCAAATAGGTGTGTTTTGAGCCTTAATGTAAAGGAACTCGCCAGTCAGTGTTATGTTGTGGGCAGCAATCTTGGGGAACATGTAATTCCAAGGTTCCTTCTGCAGGATTCTGAATAAAACCAGGATCAAGGTCTATTCCTTCAGCTGTGAACCATAGGTAGCTACTGGATTCGCAAAACAGTAACTAATTTATCCTTTTGGATTCAAGCTCGTGGACATGACAACAAATGTCTTCTCTCTGCCAGTAGGAGAAAGTGGAAGGTTGTACGTTTTGTCCTTGCAAGAAGAGAAGTTTATTGCCGTGTTTTATGCAGACATGCGCTCAAACAGCAATGTTGATATTTCTCTTCAGCTAGCCCGCTTCCTCTGTTTGGATTTTGTCTTTGCAGGAGACATGGATACTTTTGTGGAATGTTTAGCTGACATAGTGAGGAATTATGTCAATTTGTACAGTTCTTCACTAAATAGCTACACTAATACTATAAAATGGCTAAATCCTCCTGCTTGAAAATTGTAGCATCATTTTCCACTAATGAACTTTAGTCCAGGATTAAACTCAGGGGTCCTGAGTTTCTTTCGTGAAACTTGTCATCTTGAACCAGAGTGGGTTAAAAAAGTGCATTGTTGAATCAAATAGTTCTTCCAGATTTAAACGAGCTAGTCAATTCATCATGGCTTGAGCCACACAGCACTTTCAACAGTCGTACGTTATATAAATATATAAGTATAAAATATAAATATATTTGGAAATGTGTGTGCCTTCTAATTTAATTTCTTTTAATGGTGTTACATATTGTTATCCAGTTTTGATTTTATTAAAAGTATAAGATTTGTTCATTGGTTTGTCATCACTATTTTTAATATAACACCAGTATTTGTGCCATCTGTGTGTAAGCGGATTCACATTTTTCCACTAATGAGCAGCTATATAGACCCCTTTCCGAAGAGTTAATATTTGTCATCACACATAATCTAGAAAATCCGTTTTTCAATTTACCCCTGAGTTACAGAAAAGCTGATAGGCACGTCGATTACTGGCAGATTTTTCATACTCTGTACTGGAAGTTTGATTGATGTACTTCTGAAAAGTTTTTTTTTTCTTTTTCATGATATGCCTATGTCATTCACTCACTAGAAAGTATCATTGCCTTTCTTCATAATAGTATAATGTGCTGTATTACATTACATCACAGAGTTGGGATGGAATCAAAGCATTAATATTTATGTTTTTATTTTGCTAAATTAAAACAAATGAAACCAATCCTTGCCTCTTATTTACTGGATTGTTAGTGGTGTATCAATACGAACCATACTGGCTATTGGTAGAAAATTTAGGGGCACAATATTGGTCCGTCTGGCCAATACTGAGCGACTATGACAGCTACATGTAATATCCCGAGGAATCACGCAGAGTAAAATAATTGTGATTGTGTTTGCTCAGATTGTTATAAGACTCTTACAAAACAACAAAGAATGACCCCAATAAGCCCTTTTCATGTTTTACAGCTCCTAATCTCTGTTGTGTCATCCTTTTCATTGCTGGTCTTCTTTGCACATGATGGTAGGTTACGTGATCATTATAAAACAACAGATATAACCAACGCTTGTATCGGGTCAAGGTGGAAGCTTGTGTCTAAGTCAGCCAGTTTCTTTAGTTTTTCCACTTGCCATGCCTGAAGGTTCTTTGAAAAATTGCTCCTCTAATCAAAGGGTCTATCCATGTGATTTGAGTATAGAAGAAGTTATTAAAAAAATTATGGATAT